GAGTTAGTTGGAAACCCGAGAAACTGCTATTACACATTAAAACCCCAGCTCTTGAGTGCAAGGTACACAGCATTCAGAGACTTGAACTCAAACATTTTAAAAGCTTGCTGATTTGCTGTGAAAACAGCATCTCAGTCAGACTCATTCTTTGAACTCTATGAATCACAAATTTGCACTATTTACTTCATTCCCTCCTCCCAAAAAAGCTCTGTATGTGCAGTTTTTGTTACATAGGGTTTGGTTTATAGGGTGATTGCTAGTCAAGAATTTTATTCTACGATTGTAATGGAATGGATTGAATTTCCCTCATGAGTTAATTTAGTTCTCTGGTTGTAAGCTGTGTCTGTGAAGTGGCTTCACTGTATCTAAGATGGGTTTCCTGTATCTAAGGTGGACCTACTGTATATAGATTGGGCTTCTGCTGTATATTAAGAATAATATTCCTCGCATTTGATATAGTGCCTTATCACATCTTTCAGATGTCTCAAAGCACTTCACAGAAAATACTGAAAAGTGAATTGACTGTATATTAAGTGGGATTGCTGTATGTAAAGTGAGCCTGCTATATATAATGTAAACCTATTGTATATAAGGTGACTTACTCTCCATTGCTTTCTGTTCTTGTTTTTGTTCTGGACAGATGAGCTGTGATAATCTTTTCTATCCTAAATAGGCCAATTGTTTGTTTTACTATGTGTAGTTGATTCTATAATGAACGTTAAGCCATGTTTTGGCCCTCAGAGAGTGTGACAAGTTTTCTTTGTTAGTTTCTGGACTGGATGTGAAGCAGAGTGACAAAATGGGCATTCTCTCTGGCCCAAAGGATTTTACTTCACAATCTGGATTAGGGCTTCAAGACAAAAGTCTCTGGTATGGATTGGAGCATTCAGGCAAGGTGACGTGCAATGCTGCTGTCTCAATTAGAAAACAATACAAATCTACATTTACATAGCACCTTTCATATCGGAAGAACATACCAAGGCACTTAACAATACTTGCTTGGTACCCGAAATAGGGATAGGAACCGAGGGCAGTGGGGTGGGAAAAGATGATCAAATGCGCGGTCAAATATGGTCTACCGGTTAAGATTCCTGGTGTGCAACCAGACGATCTGAGTCTGAAACAGAGGTTCAATAGTCCAGGACCCACTCTAAGGCATAATGATTGTGTATTTTGTAAGTGAATGCAACAGTTAATTTACATACCAATATCACCGAAACAGCCATGAAGCGAATGACCAATTTTATTTATTTATTTGTTATTCACCATGTTTGATTATTTATTTTTTGTTGTTGTAATGTTTATTTATAGCAGCATTGCCAATTATGAACAGCAGGTACGCCCTACAGCAAGTTTTATTGCATGTTATGACATTAACCATAGTGTTGTTGGTTGGTTATACCCATAAAAGACCAACTGTGTTCTATCGAAGTTACTATTGAAATGAACGGGTACATCTCTGTCTTAAATTCTAAGTTTTCATTTCATTACAGACTTTCTCCTATAGCTCAATTCAATTACGACAACACTATTAATATTGTTGTCTGGCTTTTATGAACGGGATCTCAGCAATTTCTTTCTGAATAATGTTTTGCAGGCTTGTTTTTCCACTAAGGGAATTTTATAGTTATACAATTTTACCATATACAATGAAATTCTGTGAATTAAATACTCAGTCTGACACTGAAAATGATTCAATAAACCAAACTATTCATATAACCGGACTAAACATAATAGGAGACTCATCTCTCGGAGCTCTATGTTCCATTCAGTAAACTGAACTATTCAATTATCCAATATTCAAGTAACCGAATTTCACATTAAAAACACTTGGTGTAGAGGCTCCTAAGTACTAGCTACTCTGGTGTAACGACTCTCAGGTGTCTTTAGACGTAAAGACATTTACAGTGCTGCCTTAACTCCCAAAAAGAGGTTAGCATCTCTTATATTTTTTTGGTAGTGCCATGGGGCATTGTGTAAGAGTAAAAAGAAACCTTTGAATCTCGTAAAATTTGCTAAACACTTCAAGATGAGATTCAGTGTGAGGTCTTTATTGAACAGATTATGATAAAGGTTCTGCTACCCAGGGAGTTTGTCAACGCTGTGTGGTTGAGAGAATCCATTCAATGACTCACCTAGCTCTGATGTGAGATGTTTGAGGCAGCAGACCACAGAGCAGTGATGTACTGTCTCGTGTTAAGAGTGGGATCTGGGAAATTCTCAGGCTCAGCGATTACATTCCAATGATTTGCCCTAATTGCATAAAAATTAATTTACTCAGAAATCTTTTGGAAAAGTAAAATACTGGAGTTATTTCTTGTGAAATTATACTGTGAAGCGTCTGTCAGTAGTAGGTGATAAAACCGTGTACCTTTTCAATTCAGTTTTTTCAATCTCGCTTTCGGTTAACTCTCCCCCACCCCTCCTACCTTCCCCTCTCCCCAGCTATCCCCTCCCAAACAGTTGTGTGAAGCACTTTCAGACATCTTCCTAACCTTGAAAGGTGCTGTATCAATGTAAATTGTTGTGTGATTTAAGATTTGATTATTTGAAATAGCTTTAAATCCGACAATCCCAGCAGATGTTTAAATCCAATGCAAAGACTTATGGCCAAGCTTTAGTGATAAGTGCTATACAGCCTTTCCTTTATTGTTTCATGATGTTGTTCTAGAGAGTGAGTACAGTACACAGTGGTTACTCAGAAAAAGACATCCCATATCAGTCTGAAACAGTAATCACACTGACAGCGCTGTTAAGAAGCAGACACACCCCAAGGAATACCCTTGCCCTGCCAACATCATCCCACTGCTCTCTCCTGTGCAGAAAAGCCCTACAAATGGGATTACGTAAAGAAACAAAACATACTTCCCAACCTTCATCCCAGGCCCCAACAAAGAATTAACAAGAGTCATCTGGGTTAAGTATCAATCATTCCTACTACTTACCCCTATGGTAAAATTACATTTTAATGAGCAGGTCAGCTGCTTGACTCGTTTAGCTAAGAATTAAACTGACAAGATAATGCATGAATTAAATCAATGGGAATCTGTCAGGGCTGCGATTAATGAGAACAAGGATCTGTTTTTCATTTTCAATGCTGGATAGGACTCGTGCACCTGGTAGCTCTTGCCTTTTCAAATCTGCAAAGTCTCCAGGCGATAATGAGTCCTGACCATGTGCCACTTCTCCCTCTCACATCCAGAGCATCTGCAAATAGCCTGAGTTTCTATTGTAAATAATAGAACCTCCTACAATGCCAGGGTCAAAAAGGCAAAGTGGAAAATATTAGACATAGAGGTCTCACTTCAAATGGGGGAATTCCTTCATTAAGCAAAGAGCTTGAGACTTCTATTGGTAACCAGAATTACATCACATGGAACCATGGGATCTCCACTTCAATGGTAGATTGTGTATGAGGAAGTGTACTTTCAAGTGCTTTGACTAAGGAACTCCCTTTGAAATTATTTCATTTTAGAGCCTACTATTTTATAGTATTCTCGAGATCTGACTTCCTGTGATTGTAACAACAGGAGTTGTGTCAGCCTGGCTCAGTTGGTAGCACTCTCACCTCTGAGTCAGGCGATTGTGGGTTCAAACCCCACTTCATAACTTATAACTCATATTGTCTAAACTGACACTCAAATGCAGTGCTGGTGGTGTACTGCATTATTGGAGGTGCCATACTTCGGCTGAGACATTAAACCGAGGCCTCGTCTGCCTGTTTTTTACATTAAAGATCTCATGACACTATTCAAAAAGAGAAGGGAGTTTCTCCCTGTGTCCTGGCCAACAGTCCCCCAAATAAAATCAGTCATTCATTTCATGGCTGTTTGTGGGATACTGCTGTGTGCAAATTGGCTGTGTTGTTCGTCTACAAAATATAGTACACTTCACAATATATCCTGTGAAGCGCTTTGAGACATCCTCCTGATGTGAAAGGCGATATACTAAATGTAAGGATTATTATTTGATTATTAACAGTCGATTCTGAAGCACAAAGGGACGAGAGTGATTATTACAGCTCTTTAGTCAATAAGAGGATTAATATACTGCTGAACAGTCCATCACTCCGTGTGAACTCCTTTCTGTCAGTTAGACCCAGATGAAGATCAGTTCCTGATTAGGTTTAGTGTTAACCAAGGTAACCTCACTATCTCCACAACATCATGAAAGTGACATCATAAATATAACTAAATGCCTAGAGATGTGAAGTATTTTTCTGGAAGATATCCAGCCACTCATGTATATCTGGTTCATTTAGGGCTATCGAGCGACTAAGCTAGGCTTTTGCTGGGTGAGGGTTTCATTCTGTCAATTCTATTATTTCTTTAGCCCAGAGGCATAACTTTAACTCAAGAGCTAGATTTTCCCTCATGTGCCCAAACCTATCTAGTTCAAATTTGCCGCTAGTTTGGCCTACAAATTTATTGGACTGAATGATATCAACAGAATTTAGTATCGATAGACTAATAAAGTTAAAGATAATTGTCAATAATAATAATAATCCTTGCATTTGATATAGCGCTTTTCACGTCGGGAGGACGTCCCAAAGCGCTTCACAGAACACACTGTAAAGTGAATTGACTGTATATTTGTGGGCGAACGCGGCAGCCAATTGCGCACAGCAATGTCCCACAAACAGTCGTAGATTGAAAATGACCAATTTATTATTGTTTTGGGTTTTGGAGGGATTATTATTAGGCTCTGTGTGGAGTAAGGAAACTTGCCCGAGGTTTCGCCCTCTGCCTGGAATTGAACTCAGGTCTCTCGCTTGCAAAGCGAGTGCTCTAACCACTGAGCTACAGGACTCTAGTCTTGAATCAGAATGCTACTTAAATCAAGTTCCTGTAAACAAAGATTGAGTGTCCAAAAATTTATAATACTTTTTTTTTAAGGGAGTATTATCCCGGAACAGTGCTCTGCCAATCGACTAACAACCGGATTCCTACTTGCTGCTGGGTAAACAGGTGCGTGAAGAGTAAGGAAACTTGCCCAACATTTCGCCCTGTCTGGAAATCAAACCCAGGTCCTCTTGCTTCCGAGGCAAGTGCTCTGACCACTAAACTACAGGGCTCCATCCATAAGCATGGATGCGAGGACAAATGGAAGATAAAGATTGTCCTTGGTTTTGCAGAAGGTGTTTTTAGCAACACGTTGAACAGACCTGCGCATGTGACCAGAAAGATATAAAGAATCAGAGATTTGACAATTTTAAGTTAAAAATTCTAAGCCTATTTACTAGGAGTTACCCAATGACATCATTGGTATTGATGCAATAATGATCCTATATTGATTCATGTCCAGCTGACGTGGATTACGTTTCTGAACTGCTAAAGAGGTCCACAGCGTAAGAGAAACCTCCATGGGTTTGGCTGGAGGTGAATTCAGACTTAAGTTCCCCTCAAGGATTAAGAACAGCAGGTTATGTAACATCCAGCTAGTGCCTGTCCACTTGCAAACAATTTGTACTGTAGCTTTTCTACCTCTCCATGGTCGAGCCTATCCACCTTTGTTAGGAGTTGATGTTGAAGGTAACTGAAGTCCCAGCAGGCAGTGTAAATGATGTACCAGATGTGAGAGGTTTATCACATCCTGAAAGTACCGTGGTGTAGGAAGTAGGAACATTAGGGAGTGAGATTACTCGATCACTCTTCTATTTGAGTGACATGTCATTAGTAAGTTCAGTGCTGTGTGATCCTTTCATGGGAACGAACAAAGCATATGAAATACAACACAAACACAACCAGTGACTTAATCCAGAATAATTAACATTGAGAGGAAACACAGGCATTGTTTTGAATTATACTTACACCAAGAACTAGATATTTTGAAAATGAATTCATGTTTACTATCTATACTATCTAAATGTCTACTCAGAATCAGCTCCATATAACCAACGAATGCATGCAGTTAAATACTAAGTGTGTGACTGCATTGTTTGCAACTAAATGAATAGTTTTCTAATGAAGATTTCTGATATGTAGAGGATAATTGATTGCCCTGTAAACTGACCTTGGAATATTAAATCAGCTGCCTTAAGAAGGATGACCAGATCCATATGCTGGTGCAGAGGAGAGCAATGAGGACAATCCCCATTTTTAGAAGAATGAGCTATGAGCAACAATTAGATAAGCTCAGGTTCTTCAGTTTGAAAGTGATGTCTTAGAGGAGACCTTAGAGAGGTATACACCATTTTAATGCAGTACTTTTGGATACCCTGTGACAGTAAAAACAAGACATAGATTTAGAATTGCAACAGGCAAATTCAGGACAGACTCCCGGAAGTATTTCTTTACCCAGAGGATAATTAATTACTGGAGTAGTTACCAGGAAGGGTAGTTCAGCTAGAAAATGTAATTCTTTCTTTTAAAAAAAAACTCTCTCCTGTAATGGGAAGAAGGTCATGTAGGTATTCTGAAAGGATGAAATCAAATGGGCCAAATAGCTTTCTTTACCCAAACCTCTCTTGTCAACTTGTGATCTGATCCAAAAGTAAGATTTAGGATCTAGTTCATAATATCGGTGATTCTCACTGTGTGCTGTTACAAAGTACTGAGATTTCATATTCAACTGCAAGCCTCCATAGAAAACCAGTGTCCAAGACGGACTGCTGAAATAGAATCATGTATAAAATGCACAGTATGTGTACAGACAGTAAATAATATTAGATAATTGTATGTGGGAGCGCATCTTACTGCATATTAATTCACTCACGACCCCGCGTGCTCATTATGGCTGCCACTCCGACCCGAGCCCCCTCACCCCCTCCCTCCCTCCCCCCTCCTCCCTCCCCCCAAACCCTCCCCCCTCTGCATCTCTCCCGCTCTGTCCTCCTCTCTCTCCGTCCCTCTCGCCTTCTATCCCCACTTGACCCTCCCACAACCTCCCTCTGTTCCAGCCTGGGAATCCTCCGCCGGGCTCACCATGGCACTCGGCGTTGGCTGTCCAGCAGCAGCCACACCGACTGCCCCATTCCCCACCACACTCGCCAGCCACCCCGGACACAGACCCGGGGAGCCAACCTCTCCTCCCTCATCCCCATTCCCCCACCCCTGCCTCACAACCTGGACCCCCCCCCTCCCCACACACCCTTCTGTCAACCGCTCCCTCCACATCGGACTGCAAAATGTCCGCTCCCTCTGCAACAAGGCCCTGGTCATCAACGATCTCATCCTTGATGAGAGCGTTGACATCATGGCCTTAACGGAAACCTGGCTCACCCCAGGCGACACCTTCCCCCTCACGGAGGCCACACCACCCGGCTACACCTCCCACCACATCCCTCGCCCCAACCGCCGTGGCGGTGGTGTAGCCCTTATCTCAAGGACACCACTTGCCCTATCCGCCTACTCCTCTGGCTTTTTCCCCTCTTTTGAGCACCTCACCCTCTCCCACCCCTCCTATCCTCCTCCTCTACCGGCCCCCTAAAACCTCTCCCACCTTCATCTTCGATAATTCTACCCTACTAACATCTCTCTGCCTCTGCTCTGATCGCCTCATCATCCTGGGTGACTTCAACCTGCACTTCAACCCCTCCTGCTCCATCTCCTCGGACTTCTCTTCCCTGCTCTCCTCGCTCAACCTCTCCCTCCACATCAACTCCGCCACTCACAGTCACGGCCACCCACTCGATTTGGTGATCACCCGGGGCCTCAGTGTCTCGGATGTCACCATTACCGACAAGGCCGTCTCCAATCACCACTTCATCTCCTTCAACACCTCCACCCCCCTCCCCACCTCCACCAGACCCACCACCATCCTCTACCACCCCTGGAAGAAGTTCCCCCCACAATCCCTAACCACTGCCTTGGAGTCCTCTGAACTCCTCTCCCTCTGGCCTTCATCCCTCACTGACCCCTCTTCTGCTCTCACCCTCCTCCACAACACCCTCTCTTCCACACTCGACACTCTTGCCCCCATCACCACCCGTACTTTCTCTTACACTTGCTCCTCCCCCTGGTTCACCACCCATCTCTGCTCACTGAAGAGCCAGGTGCGGGCCGCTGAATGCACCTGCCTCAAATCTGGCCTAACAGTCCACCGATAAATCTGGCTGGACCTCCTCAAAATTTACCGCTCCACTCTATCCTCGACCAAGTCATCCTTCTACTCCAGGATAATCCTGGAGGCGAAGAACAACCCCAGGCTTCTGTTTTCTACCACATCCCGACTCCTCCGTCCCCACCGCCACCCCGCGCAGGTCATCTCCTCCAACCTTCACTGGGAGGAGATGCTGGATTTCCTTGAATCCAAAATCAAGGGAATCCGCTCCGCGGTCACTGCCCCTCTAACTTCCACCCACCCCTTCCCTCCCACACTCCGACTCCTACACACCTTCGAACCTGTTTCCCCACCCTCTGTCACCAACCTCATACTGTCCCTGAAACCCACCACCTGCTCCCTTGACCCCATCTCCACTTCACTCCTTCCAAACCCTCCCTTGATGCGTCGCAGCTATCAAGCTACCGGCCCATCTCCAACCTCCCCTTCCTGTCCAAGGTCCTTGAAAGAGTTGCCGCCTCCCAGCTACGCTCTTTCCTCTCCACCCATTCATTATTCGAACCCCTTCAGTCGGATTTCCGTGCTGCCCATAGCACAGAAACTGCCCTGGTCAAGGTCACTAATGACATCTTGACCATCTGCGACCAGGGCTCCCTCTGCCTCCTCGTCCTCCTCGACCTATCGGCCGCATTCGATACGGTCGACCATACTATCCTCCTCCACCACTTGTTCTCCCACCTCAACCTTCCAGGCCCTGTCCTTGAGTGGTTTAGGTCGTACCTCTCCCACTGTCTTCATTTTGTTTCCACAAACATTTTTTCCTCCAACCCCCGCACTGTCTCGTGTGGTGTCCCTCAGGGCTCTGTCCTCGGTCCCCTCCTCTTCACCCTCTATATGCTCCCCCTGTGGTGACATCATCCGCAGACATGGGGTTAACTTCCACATGTATGCGGATGACACCCAACTCTACCTTTCCTCCTCTACCCTCAACTCCACGACCACCGATGTCCTGACAGTTGCCTGTCCGACATCGAGTCCTGGACGAGAGACAACTTTCTTCAGCTCAACGTGCGCAAAACTGAGGCCCTCCTCATTGGTTTGTGTCAGCGCCTCCGCACCTCAGGCGCTGACACCATCAACATCCAAGGCTGCACTCTCCACCTCTCAAAGCAGTCAGGAACCTCGGGGTTCTGTTCGACCCTGAGCTGTCCTTTCTCTCTCATATCCGCGCCACAACTGGCACCGCCTTCCATCACCTCCGGAACATCGCCAGACTACGGCACTACCTCACCCCTCACGCTGCTGAAACTCTGGTCCACGCCTTTATCACCTCAAGGCTGGACTATGGGAACTCTCTCCTCGCCGGCCTTCCCGGCCCTCCCTCCACACTGCAGGTCATTCAGAACTCTGCAGCTCGTGTACTGTCCCGCACCAGGCTTCGGACCACATCACTCCCACCCTCGCTCGCCTCCACTGGCTCCCCATCCCCCAGAGGATCGAATTCAAGATCCTCATCCAAATACAAGGCCATTCACGGCCTTGCTCCCTCCTACCTCTCCGACCTACTATCCCCTTACCTACCTGCCCGTACCCTCCGTTCCTCTGGCTCCGGTCTGCTCCACATCCCCGCCCCAACCGCCCTACCATTGGTGGCCGAGCCTTCAGCCTCTCAGCCCCGAGGCTCTGGAACTCTATCCCCCAGTGCCTTCGCCGCCTCCCCCCTTTCCTCCTTCAAGGCCGGTCTCAATACCTTTCTCTTCGACCGTGCCTTCAGCTCCCCTCTCGACTCTCTACCCCCTCCTCGCTCCCTTCCTTCCCTCCCCTCACCCTGACCATTTCCCCCCAATGCTCGGGTCCCAACCCAACTGTCCAGCGCCTTGGGATGTCCTCCCGACGTGAAAGGCGCTCTATAAATGAAATCTTGTTGTTGTTGTTTTTAAAGGCATCCATTATAATACACGTAGCATATCACAAGATCACTGAAAAAGTTTGGATGAAGACGGCTATTTGATCTCATCTCTTCACCTGTCCTATCTTCTTCCAATTACTGTATGAAGCAGTTTCTTAATTTAA